CCCTCATAGATCACCATTTTTATTAATCTTTGGTTTTTTTCTTCCATGTTTAATATGATCAGATATGTGTTTATATATTCATATTCCTCCATCCTCATCTTATATGTAAATTAGTATATTTATAACCACTGTTCTAATTCTTTTTTCATTTAACAATGTGTTCTTTTTTTTAATGCTTATTTATTTTTGAGAGAGAGAGAGACAGAGCACGAGCAGGGGAGGGTCAGAGAGAGAGAGAGACGGAGACACAGAATCCGAAGCAGACTCCAGGCTCTGAGCTGTCAGCACAGAGCCCGACGCAGGGCTCAAACTCACAAACCGTGAGATGATGACCTGAGCCGAAGTCAGACGCTCACCTGACTGAGCCCCCAGGCGCCCCCTTAACAATGTATTCTTAAAGAGGATCACCCAGCAGTGTGTTGGCCTTTCCTTTTTCTGTGTTGTTGCTGTTTGCAGATTCCTAGTCCTCTCTCGGACACCATGTACGGATATCCTTTGCTTTAATCAGCTGTTCTGTAGCTAATCACATGAGGTTTTGCTATTAAAATAGTGGTAGGAGGTGCCTGGCTGGCTCAGGCAAGCCTACAACTCTTGATCTTAGGGTTGTGAGTTCAAGCCCCACATTAGGTATAGAGATTACTTAAAATCTTTTTAAAAAATAGTGGTAGATTATATAGTTTTCTGCAGCTGTTACATTTTTGCCAGTGTATCTGGAATAGCTCTCCTACAGGTCGGGTTCCTTGGTTAAAGTTGTAGTTAAATGCATGCGGTATTCTGGTTATTATCCATTTCCTTCTATAGGAATTACACCGTTTTACACATGGTACATGTCCGTGTGTACTTGAATTTGTTCTTGCTGTTCTGCCTTCTTCCCTTGGTTCTTTCGTCTTTCGGTGTGTCAATTCTGTACTGTTTTAATGATACAAGCTTTAAAAAATAACTTAACATTTGGTACAGTTATCCCTTGCTTTTCTTTTTAGATTCTGCTAGTTATTCTTGCTTATCTAATTTTTCCAAAGAATGTAATATTTTTTTTTTAATCCTGAAAGAAATTTTGGTGGTATTTTTATTTGGATAGCATTAAATTTATAAATTTGTTTTGGGAAAATTGTCAGCTTTATGTCTTCCTATCCACAAACACAGTATGTATTTCCATTTGCTCAAGTCTTTCATTTCCGTTTCATCATTAAATAAAAAAAACTCTTTATGTCAGTTATACTTCAGTTTAAGGAAATCTATGTTGAAACATGGAAAAAATGTTTTTTTGTCTGACAGTCAACTGAAGTTTATGTTTTAGATTTAGATAAATCTTTTTTATTTTTTTAGACTTTTTTCCCCCCCAGAACTTTTATTTAAACTATAGTTAGTTAACATATTTTGTGATATTGGCTTCAGGAGTAGAATTCAGTGATTCATCACTTACACACGACACCTAGTGCTCTTATCATGTGCCCTCCTCAGTGCCCATCCCCCAACCCCGCCCTCAGTCTGTTACCCTCAGCTTGTTCTCTGTCATTAAGAGTCTCTTATGTTTTGCTTCCCTCTCTCTCTCTGTTTTCCCCCTTCCCATATGTTCATCTGTTTTGTTTCCTAAATTCCACATATGAAAGAAATCATATGGTATTTGTCTTTCTCTGACTGATTTATTTCATTTAGTGTACATAATACACTCTAGTTCCATCCACATCATTGCAAATGGCAAGATTGATTGATTTCTTTCTCTCTCTCTCTCTCTCTCTCTCTTTCTAAGTACACACACAGCTTAAACTCACAGCCCTGAGATCAAGACCTGAGCTAAGATCAAGAGTTAGACACTTAACGGACTGAGCCACCCAGGCACCCCAACATTTTCCTTTTTTTTCTTTTTGATGCCTGAGTAATATTCCGTTGTATGTGTATATATTTATAAGCTTATATATTTATTTATTTATTTATTTATTTATACACACATACATACACATACCACCTCTTCTTTATCCAATCATCAGTCAAGTGGACAGTTGGACTCTTTCTATAATTTGGGTTTTGTTCATAATGCTGCTATGAACATTGGGGAGCATCTGTACCCCTTCAAGTCTGGATCTTTGTATCCTTTGGATAGATACCTAGTAGTACAATTGCTGGGTTATAAGGTAGTTCTATTTTTAACTTTTTGAGGAGCCTCCATACTGTTTTCCAGAGTGGCTACACCAGTTTGCATTCCCATCAACAGTGTATAAGGGTTTCCCTTTCTCTGCATCCTCTCCAACATCTGTTATTTCCTGTGTTGTTAATTGTAGCCATTCTGACAGGTGTGAAGTGGCATCTCATTGTGGTTTTGATTTGTATTTCCCTGATGATGAGTGATGCTGAACGTCTTTGTTATGTATGTTAGTCATCTGGATGTCTTCTTTAAAAAAATGTCTAATTATATCTTGCCATTTCTTAAATGGATTATTTGTTGTTTGGGTGTTGAGTTTGACAAGTTCTTTATATTTCAGATACTAACCCTTTACCACATATGTCATTTGCGAACATCTTTTCCCATTCTGTAGACTGCATTTTAGTTTGGTTGATTGTTTCCTTTGCTGTGTGGGTTTTTATCTTGAAGAGGTCCCAGTAGTTCTTTTTTGCTTTTGTTTCCCTTGCCTCTGGTGATGTGTCTAGTAAGAAATTGCTGTGGTCAAGGTCAAAGAGTTTGCTGCCTGTGTTCTTCTAAGGATTTTGATGGTTTCCTGTCTGACATTTAGATCTTTCATCTATTTTGAATTTACTTTTGTGTGTGGTATAAGAAAGTGGTCCATTTTCATTCTTCTGCATGTCGCTCTCCAGTTTTCTCGACACCATTTGCTGAAGAGGCTGTCTTTTTTCCATTGGATAGTCTTTCCTGCTTTATTGAAGATTAGTTGACTCTATAGTTTTGGGTCCATTTCTGGGTTTTCTATTCCATTCCATTGATCTGTGTATGTTTTTGTGCAAGTACCATACTGTCTTGATCACTACAGCTTTGTAATGTAGCTTAAAGTCCGGAATCATGATGCCTCCAGCTTTGCTTTTCTAAAAAAAGAAGTCCTTCTTTTCGAAAAAAGAAGCCACCGCCTGGGTGGCTCAGTCGGTTAAGTGTCCAGCTTCAACTCAGGTCATGATCTCACGGTTCGTTGGTTCGAGCCCCACATCGGGCTGTGTGCTAACAGCTAGCTCGGAGCCTGGACCCTGCTTGAGATTCTGTGTCTCCCTCTCTCTCTGACCTTCCTCTGCTCACACTGTCTCTCTCTTTCTCAGAAATAATAAATAAATAAATAAATAAATAAATAAATAAATAAAATGTTAAAAAATAAGTAAATAAATAAAAAAGAAAAAAGAACTCCTTAATTGTTATCCAAAAGTAAAACAGGTTGTTGTGTGAAGTAATTAACACAACAACCTGTTTTACTTTTGGATATATGGTGAGGATTCATGAATTGGATAACAGTATACATTAATAACTTAAAAGTTACACCCAACTCTAAAATGTTACACAAATCTTTTTATTCAAGTATATTTATTTTGAGAGAGGGATAGAGGAAGAAAGCATAAGCATAGAAGGGGCAGAGAGAAAGGGAGAGAGAATCCCAGGCAGGCTCTTCTCTACCAGCACAGAGCCTAACGTGGGGCTCCAACTCACGAACCGTGAGGTAGATCATGACCTGAGCCACAATCAAGAGTCAGATGCTCAACCAGCTGAGCCACCCAGATTCCCCCTAAATGTTATATAAAAATGCACTGTATAGAAAACATGAATGTATTTTATTGTCTTTTTTATTTCTCTCACATTAAGAGAGAACTTGACTGTCCTTTCACAATTATAATTGAGGGGCGCCTGGGTGGCTCAGTCGGTTAAGTGTCCAACTTGGACTCAGGTCATTATGTCACGGTTCATGGGTTCAAGCCCCACGTCGGGCTCTGTGCTGACAGCTCAGAGTCTGGAGCCTGCTTTGGATTCTGTGTCTCCTTCTCTCTTTGCCCTTCCCCTGCTTGCACTCTGTCTTTCTCTCAAATATATATAAACACTGAAAAATTAAAAAATAAACTGTAATTGGGGCGCCTGGGTGGCTTAGTTGGTTAAGCATCTGACTTTCGCTTAGGTCATGATCTCGCGGTTCATGGGTTCGAGCCCCGCATTGGGCTCTGTGCTGACTGCCAGCTCAGAGCCTGGAGCCTGTTTCAGAGTCTGTGACTCCCTCACTCTCTCTCTGACCCTCCCCTGCTCACACTGTCTTTCTCTCTCTCTCCTAGAAATAAATAAAACATTAAAAAAAATAAAATAAACTGTAATTGAGAATGAGTGAAAGGAGTGGAAGTAGGTTAGGGGTTTACAGCACTGGTTTGAAATCTTTGATATCAATGAAGGAGGTGGGCAGTGAACAATTGTTTTTAAATAAATTTTTTAATGTTTGTTTATTTTTGAGAGAGAATGCGCAGGGGAGGGGCAAAGAGAGAGAGAGACGGGATCCAAAGCGGGGTGAAAGCAGGGAGTCCAATGTGGGGCTCAGACTCATAAACTGTGAGATCATGAACTGAGCCAAAGTCAGACACTTAACCAACTGAGCCACGCAGGTGTCCCAGTGAACTGTTAATTTAAGAGTACATGGGATGTTGTAGCTAACAGTATTTCTCTTTTTAAAAATGGCATGTTTGTATTCTAATGTGTATTTATTCAGTCTAATGTAAGGGAAGAGTTGACTGTTAATTTGCCATTTTTAAACAATGTCAAAAATAATAAGCTTATTTTTAAATATTGAGTAATATATAGGTGTATCCTGGTTGAGCGTCAACACAGGTAATGTTTTGCCAGCCTCTGGTGCAGCATCAGAGGGTCTCATGTACTGTGACATGGCGTAACAGTAGTTTGGTTTATTGAAAAAGCACTGTTGCCTATCTTTTATCTGATACGTGATCAGTTAGGTTGCTCAGTTATAATGCTAAACTGAAGTGATACAAGGTTTACTCTCTCTGAAACCTTTTTCTTGTTCAAATTTTAGGACCCTTCAAAGTTGTACAAGAAAACAGGTGATGTTGCAGCCATTGAATGCCAGTCTGAAGAAAGCATCCATCTTCATTCACAGGGAGAAAACAGTCCTTTGTCCAAGAAGCTTTCTCCGGTGCACTCAGAAATGACAGATTACATTAATGCAGCGTCATCTACTCTTGTTGGTAGCCGGGATCCTGATCTAAAGGACAGAGCGTTACTTAACGGAGGAACGAGTGTAACAGAAAAGTTGGCACAGCTCATTGCAACTTGTCCTCCCTCTAAGTCTTCCAAGACTAAGCCTAAGAAGTTAGGATCTGGCACTGCTGCGGGATTGGTTAGCAAAGACTTGATCAGGAAAGCAGGCGTTGGCTCTGTGGCTGGAATAATACATAAGGACTTAATAAAAAAACCAGCTATCAGCACAGCAGTTGGATTGGTAACTAAAGATCCTGGGAAAAAGCCAGTGTTTAATGCAGCAGTAGGATTGGTCAGTAAGGACTCTGTGAAAAAGCTAGGAACGGGCACTACAGCGGTGTTCATTAATAAGGACTTAGGCAGAAAGCCAGGGACTGTCACTCCAGTGGGGCTGCTGAGCAAGGAGTCAGGAAAGAAGCTAGGGATTGGCATCGTTCCAGGGTTAGTGAACAAGGAGTCTGGAAAAAAGTTAGGACTTGGCACTGTGGTTGGGCTGGTTAATAAAGACCTGGGAAAGAAATTGAGTTCTACTGTTGGCCTAGTGGCCAAGGACTGTGCAAAGAAAATTGTTTCAAATTCAGCAGTGGGCCTGGTTAATAAGGACATGGGAAAGAGACTAGTGAGTTGTTCTGTGGCAGGCCTGGTCAGTAAAGATGCCATAAACCTCAAAGCCGAAGCACTGCTCCCCACTCAGGAGCCTCTTAAGGCTTCTTGTAGTGCAAGCGTCAGTGGTCACGAGAGTCAGGAGCTTTCTGAGTCTCTGAAAGACAGTACCACCAGCAAAACTTTCGAGAAGAACGTTATACGGCAGAGTAAAGAAAGCCTCTTGGAAAAGTTCTCAGTTCGAAAAGAAATCATCAATTTGGAGAAAGAAATGTTCAGTGAAGGACCGTGCATTCAGCAGGACGGTTTCTCATCCAGCGACAGGGGGCCTTACGAAACCTCAAAGCACGAAAAGCAGCCTCCCGTGTACTGCACTTCTCCAGACTTTCAAATGGGAGCTGCTTCGGACACATCGACAGCAAAATCCCCGTTCAGTGCAGTAGGAGAGAGCAGTCTCCCCTCCCCATCACCCACCGTATCTGTCAACCCTCTGACCAGAAGTCCCCCTGAAACTTCACAGTTGGCCCCTAATCCATTGCTGTTAAGTCCTACCACAGAATTAATGGAAGAGATTTCTGAATCTGTTGGGAAGAACCAGTTTACTCCTGAAAGTACCCACCTGAACATAGGTCATAGGGCCGTGGGTCACAGCATGAACATCGAATGTAAAGGGATCGATAAGGAGCTGACTGATTCGAAAACCGCACATCTAGATATTCCAAGAATAAGCTCTTCCCTGGGAAAAAAGCCAAGTTTGACTTCCGAACCCAGTATTCATGCAATTACCCCGTCAGTTGTTAACTTCACTAGTTTGTTTAGTAACAAGCCCTTTCTAAAACTTGGTGCAGTAACTGCATCAGACAAACACTGCCCAGTCGCTGAAAGCCTAGGCACGAGTTTGCAGTCGAAACCGCTGAAAAAAAGGAAAGGAAGGAAGCCTCGGTGGACTAAAGTGGTGGCAAGAAGCACATGCCGGGCTCCCAAAGGGCTAGAATTAGAAAGAGCAGAGCTTTTTAAAAATGTTTCGTGTAGCTCACTATCAAATAGTAATTCTGAGCCAGCCAAGTTTATGAAAAACCTCGGACCATCTTCATTTGTAGACCATGACTTCCTGAAGCGCCGATTGCCAAAGCTGAGCAAGTCCACGGCCCCGTCTCTCGCTCTCCTGACTGACGGCGAGAACCCAGCTCACAAGGCCTTCGCGACTCACAAGCTCTCCTCCAGTATGTGTGTCTCTACTGACCTTCTGTCTGACATTTATAAGCCCAAGAGGGGCAGACCTAAGGCCAAGGAGATGCCTCAACTGGAAGGTCCACCTAAAAGGACTTTGAAGATCCCTGCCTCGAAAGTTTTTTCTTTGCAGTCTAAGGAAGAACAGGAACCCCCGATTTTACAGCCAGAAATCGAAATCCCTTCCTTCAAGCAAAGTCTTTCTGTGTCTCCTTTTCCGAAAAAGAGAGGCAGACCGAAGCGGCAGATGAGGTCACCGGTCAAGATGAAGCCACCGGTACTGTCCGTGGCTCCGTTTGTTGCCACCGAGAGTCCAAGCAAGCTGGAGTCTGAAAGTGATAACCACCGGAGCAGCAGTGATTTCTTTGAGAGTGAGGATCAGCTCCAGGACCCAGACGATCTGGATGACAGGCACAGGCCCGCCGTCTGCAGCATGAGTGACCTGGAGATGGACCCAGATAAAAAAATTACCAAGAGAAACAATGGACAACTAATGAAAACCATTATCCGCAAAATAAATAAAATGAAGACTTTAAAGAGGAAGAAACTGTTGAATCAGATTCTTTCAAGCTCCGTAGAATCAAGTAATAAAGGGAAAGTGCAATCCAAACTCCATAATACAGTGTCAAGTCTTGCTGCCACGTTCGGCTCTAAATTGGGCCAGCAGATAAACGTCAGCAAGAAGGGAACCATTTACATAGGAAAGAGAAGGGGTCGAAAACCAAAAACTGTCTTAAATGGCATTCTTTCCGGTAGCCCCGCCAGCCTTGCTGTGCTTGAGCAAACCGCTCAGCAGGCAGCCGGCTCAGCGCTGGGACAGATCCTTCCCCCCCTGCTGCCCTCCTCTGCCAGCGGTTCTGAGACTCTTCCGTCACCTGTTTGCTCTCAGTCTTCCGGGACGAGCGGCGGGCAGAGCCCCGTGAGCAGTGACGCAGGCTTTGTGGAGCCCAGCTCGGTGCCGTATCTGCACTTACACTCCAGACAGGGCAGCGTGATCCAGACTCTTGCCATGAAGAAGGCCTCCAAGGGGAGGCGGCGGCTCTCTCCTCCTACTTTGTTGCCAAATTCTCCTTCCCACTTGAGTGAACTCACCTCCCTGAAGGAAGCTACGCCTTCTCCCATCAGTGAGTCTCACAGTGATGAGACGGTTCCCAGCGACAGTGGAATCGGAACCGATAATAACAGCACATCAGACAGGGCAGAGAAATTCTGTGGACAGAAAAAGAGGAGGCATTCTTTTGAACACGTTTCTCTCATCCCCCCTGAAACCTCTACAGTTCTGAGCAGTCTTAAAGAAAAACATAAACACAAATGTAAGCGCAGGAGTCATGATTACCTCAGCTACGACAAGATGAAGAGGCAGAAACGAAAACGGAAAAAGAAATACCCCCAGCTCCGAAGTAGACAGGATCCAGACTTCATCGCGGATCTGGAGGAATTGATCAGCCGTCTGAGTGAAATTCGAATCACCCATCGAAGTCATCATTTTATCCCCCGGGACCTGCTGCCCACTATTTTTCGCATCAACTTTAACAGCTTCTACACGCACCCTTCTTTCCCCTTAGACCCTTTGCACTACATTCGAAAACCTGACTTAAAAAAGAAGAGAGGGAGACCCCCTAAGATGAGGGAGGCGATGGCCGAGATGCCCTTCATGCACAGCCTTAGTTTTCCCCTTTCTAGTACCGGATTCTACCCGTCCTACGGCATGCCTTACTCTCCCTCGCCCCTCACGGCCACCCCTCTGGGCCTGGGCTACTATGGAAGGTACCCCCCCGCTCTCTACCCTCCTCCTCCATCTCCTTCTTTCACTCCTCCGCTTCCGCCTCCGTCCTACATGCACGCCGGCCATCTGCTTCTCAACCCCACCAAATACCATAAGAAAAAGCATAAGCTCCTTCGGCAGGAGGCCTTTCTCACGACCAGCAGGACCCCCCTCCTTTCCATGAGCACCTACCCTAGCGTCCCTCCCGAGATGGCCTACGGCTGGATGGTCGAGCACAAACACCGGCACCGGCACAAGCACAGAGAACACCGCTCTTCTGAGCAGCCCCAGGTGTCCGTGGACACCGGCTCCTCCAGATCCGTCTTGGAGTCCTTGAAACGGTATCGGTTTGGGAAGGAAGCTGTTGGGGAGCGACATAAACACAAGGAGAAGCACCGCTGCCACGTGTCCTGCCCCCATCTCTCCCCGTCGAAAAGCTTAATGAATAGAGAAGAGCAGTGGGTCCACCGAGAGCCTTCGGAACCTAGTCCGCTGGCTTTGGGATTGCAAACACCTTTACAGATTGACTGTTCGGAGAGCTCTCCGAGCTTGTCCCTGGGAGGGTTCACCCCCAGCTCGGACCCGGCCAGCAGCGATGAGCATACAAACCTTTTCACAAGTGCAATAGGCAGCTGCCGAGTCTCCAACCCTAGCGCCAGTGGCCGCAAGAGATTAGCTGACAGTCCCGGACTGTTTTCCGCACAGGACACTCCGCTCGCTCGGCCTCACAGGAAGGAGCCGCTGCCTTCGGGCGAGAGGGCAGTGCAGACGGCGACAGGTAAGGAGGGTCCCTTCGCTGCCTGTTGTTTGTGTCGGGAAAAGAGGTTACTTTGTCCTCAGGTTGCCTGGTGCGTGTATGTGAACCTTTAATGGTTTTGTTTGTATAAATAAATGTGGAATGTTATCTTCAGCGTTCTCATTTTTGGTACATGTGAAAAGTAAGATAAGGCCTGTCTTTGCATTAATTTTGAATTTTCAGATAAAGACAAACACTCAGGTTTCGGAAGCCAGGAAAAATGAGTCTTCTTGCTCATGCAAAAAGGCCGGCACAGTTTCTTTAGGGGGAAATTGCCCCAGGTGTGTGCTGGCAGCTGTGCAGGACTTTTCTGTCCTCCAAAAATGATTACAAGTGCATTTACGTTACAGGAAGGAGTGCTGTTAACTCAGGGTGTCTCATAAGAAAAATCTAGGCATTCAAAATGATCAACTTTATACCGCAGACTTCATTCTGCAGAGTTCTCTCTCGGTATCCTCATTCAGCTGCTCCAGTTGCATATGAAATGGCATGAAACAAATCTAGATAGTACATTTGTAACCTCTACAAAGCTCTTCAGGACTGAAACAGAGAAAACAAGAAAGAGGAAGCATCGCCCACCCGTGTAGAAAGAAGGTGTCTGTGAGTCAGAAGTTCTCTATCAGAGATCTCAACCCTGGGGGTTGGTTATAGGTAACTCTAGGAAACCCATAGGACCTGTAGTATTATAGGTAAGATTATGTGCGTGTGTGCCTTTCAGGAGAAATTCCATACGTTTCATCACATGCTCCAAGTAAATTCTCTAAGCCTCCATATCCCTCCTATAAAACGGTGGTAATAGGGTTATCGTGAGAAGTAAATGAGGTTACGATGTCTTTATGGACGTGATTTGCACGTTGTAAGTACCTAGATGCTAATTGGTAAAACTGTTCCCCAAAAGATTAAAAACTTCTGCATTCTAGGAGATGATAAACCCCTCAAAGATAATGTGGTTTTGCCCATGACATTCATTATTCATGAAATCTTGAAAAAGCCATTTTCACTGAGAAACTGAGCATTCTTTAGTTTCTAACACTGAAATAAAGAGGAAAAAAAATTGCTAAATTTTAATTAGGTTCATTCAACAAGTTTGTGATAAATATTTCCTCGACAGCAGTCAGTAAATATCTGTTTGCCAGGTAGTCTCCTCTGTGGGCCGTGGTGAGGAAGAACGCAGGCAAATCATCGTTCTCATGCAACATCAGTGGAGGAGACGGGTGATGAGCAAAAAAATGTACACATTAAATATCATTAAAAATGTGACAAGGGTGTTAAGAAAAGAAAAAGAAGAAACCAAGAGAATGTGGAATGGGGGCCTGACCCAGCAAGCCGTCCCTGCGAAAGTGACGCTGAACTGTTACCTGAAGAGTGAGCACCAGTTAGTTGGGCAGACAATTCCACTTGTTCGTGTATTCATTCATTCGCTCCCTCATTTATTTATTAAATTCTAAAACGTGTGGCTCTATTCCAGTCACCAGCGTAGACATGAGGTCGGGCCTCATGAACTTTGAGCTCTGGTGACAGAAGACAGACAGTAGAGCGGTAAGTGCACAGGTAAAGGCATAACTGAGGGAAATGCCATCAAGTGAATATTACAGTGTCAGGATGGATTGTTAAGGGAAGGGATGCCCGTTTAGACACAGTTATTAGTTACGGCCTAAGGATAAAAAGCTGGGCTTGAAGGATGAGAAGCCACTAGCTTCTCAAGCTGAGGTTTGAGTAAAGAGCATTATTTGAAGATCCTAGACTGAGGAGATGAAATATTAGACCTTGGCGGCCGGGTCACTGTGGCAGGACAGGGAACACAGGAAGGTGCGAGAATTGTGGCGAAGCAAGCAGCCAGACTACGTTCTGAGAGTCTAGGTTTTCTTCTAGGCTTTTAGGCAAGAGACCGAGGGGTGTTGGTTTCAGAGTTGCTTTTTTAAAGGCTCCTTCTGGCCCATGTGTGACGTTGGCCGGCTGCAGGGGTGCGGTGTGTCCGGAGGAGACGGTGTGCGGACACGGCAGGGACACTGCAGGCTCCGAGTGGTGCTGTCTGGAGGGGCCGCACGTGGGAAAGCACAGTTTGCTTTTTCAAAACACATAAGCTTTGGGCTGTCTTAGAGCAGCTTTAGAACGTTCAAGTGGAGAGAGAGCAGAGAAGCTGTCGGTGTCATCTACAAAAATTAAAAGGGCTTCTAGAAAAGATAAACTTGGGAGCAGATTCTCACACTGTATGCAACTTTGTAACTAGAGCACCAAGAAAAGGAATAATTCTAGAAAATGCCAGCACCAGTGAAAAAGACAAGTTAAATTGTTTAATAAAGAAAAATACCACAGTAAACACAGGATTTAACTTTTTTGGAAAAGACGAAAGCAACTTGGTAGAAGGGAACGCAGAGGAGGGTCAGAGCTGCTCAGTTGTGGACACGAAAGCTCACTGCTTACCATTGGCGGATAAAAGAGGTGACGCCAGTTACAGCCGGTTCTGGCCTCCTGCTCTTGGCTGGCTTTCTTGCACCAAGACCCCGGGAGAGCACTTGCCAGGTGCTCTGCGGCCACTGCTCCCCAGAGGGCCCATGCTCGCCGATCAGAACAGGGGCGTGGGCGGCTCAGTCAGTTAAGCATCTGTCTTAGGCTCAGGTCATGATCTCACTGTTCGTGGGTTCGAGCCCCACGTCGGGCTCTGTGCTGACAGCTCGGAGCCTGGAGCTGCTTCCGAGTCTGTGTCTCCCTCGCTCTCTCCGCCCCTCCCCTGCTGGCGCTCTCTCACTCTCAGAAATAAACATTAAAATTTTTAAAAAGTGGGGGGGAGAAAAACCAGAACATCTGGCAAAAGTTAATCCACATTTCCTGGATGACATCAGTGGCTGTGTCTCCGTAGTGGCAGCCACTCCCCCCCCCCCCCATTGGGGCAGGCATTCTTCAGTGTGCCTCAACCCGCACCCTTTCCTGTGGTGTGCTGTATCTGGCTCCAAGGAACGTTTTAGTTTGAGGCCTCTAATTTCAGAGTCATGAGAAGGCGCTTGTAACAGGGAAACTGAGGTGGAAGTGAAGTGAGATGACAGATGAGGTGGTTGAACGTATTGTTAAAGTCACCCGGGAGCCCAGTCACCAGAGACGGGTGCGAGGAAAGGATGGCTGTGAGCCTGCTTTCAAGGTCCTCGGGAGGTACAGGTCTAACGTGGGAAAATCTCTGCCTTAATAAGAACTTGTCTCCTTCCGTTTTAAAAAAATAAGAAAAACATGAAGGTCTCTCTGACGTCACTGTCACTAACTGGGTGTCTCGCAGTCCAGTTCTGACTCTAGATACCTGGAGTTCAGGAAAGACACTGCAGGTTAAGACTGCCCCCACTTCCTGTGCCACAGCGGCCTCAGTGTCCCCATCCACCTACACTCTCGTCTACACTGCCGCAGATTTGGGGCCTCCCACAAGCCCTCCGTTTTGATAATTTGGTAGAACAACTCAGAACTTACTGAAACCACTGTACTTAGGATTACAGTTTTATCATTACGAAGGATGCGGATGAGGAACTGAAGAGATTCACAGGGCGATGTCTGGGGTGGAGGAAAGGACACAGCAGCCTCCACGCCCGCTCCTTGTGCATCCAGGGGTTTCACCTTCCCAGCACACCACTCTGTTCACCAGCCAGGGAGCAGTGCCAGTCCTTTGTGTCTAGAGTTTTGATTGGGCTTAATTACATAGGCATGGTTAATTAAGTCACTGGCTGTGTGATTGAACCCAATCTCCGGCCCCCCTCCACTCGATCTAGATAGGGCTCGCCCCACATTTCAGCCTGAACCCTGTGATTGGTGTTTCTAGTGAGCAGTCCCACCCTGAGGCCTTCTCCGGGCCCACCTCAAGTCACCTCTTTGGCATAACAAAGACACTTCTATCACTCCGGAAATTCCAAGGGTTTTTGAAGCTCCTGGCCAAGAATCAGAGACAAAGAACAGATATATTCTTTATGATATCACAGATCCACAAATTCTTGGAGCCTCTCTGTCTTCCTCACAATTACTCTTTTGATAAGTGGGTAGAAAGGTCTTGATTTTCTAATAGGAACTTTTTCAAGTAGACATGAAAACTGGTTACCTATCCTCTTAAAACCAGTTGAGAAAACGATTTTTAGGTTAAGGAAAGTAATAAGAAAAAATTACTAACCTAAGGCATGGGGTGTCCTCTAATTTGATATCTTTGAAAGTCGGAACTTGTTTTTGTTGTTTAGGTAGAGCTTTATGTATTTTTTTTTTATCTTAACTATTAATGATGATAGCTCTCCCTTTCGCAGTTACTGTCTCTTGTTTGCCAGGAGCAGGGAATAAAAACATGAATAAGATGTGATTTCAGCGGAGAACAAGGATGTGTATACAAATAGTGATTCATGACTCCAGGGGCGCCTGGCTGGCGCGGTAGGTAGAATATGTGACTCGACCTCGGGGTTGTGGGTTTGAGCCCCACTTTGTGTGTAGAGATCACTTAGAATCTTAAACAGGGGCACCTGAGTGGCTCGCCTGGTTGGGCCTCTGACTCTTGGTTTTGGCTCAGGTCATGATCTCATGGTTCTCGGGGTCAACCCCGATCAGGCTCTGTGCGGACAGCGTGGAGCCTGCTTGGTATTCTCTGCTCCTCCCGCACACGCGTGCACGCATGCTCTTTCTCTCTCTCTCAAAATAAGTAAACTTTAAACAAAGTTTCTTTTTTAAAAAAAATCTTAAACATGGGGCACCTGGGTGGCTCAGTCCTTTAAGCGTCCGACTTCAGCTCAGGTCCTGATTTCAGGGTTTGTGGGTTCGAGCCCCGCGTCGGGCTCTGTGCTGGCAGCTCAGAGCCTGGAGCCTGCTTTGGATCCTGTGTCCTCCCTCTCTCCCTGACCCTCCCCTGTTCGTGCTCTGTCTCTGTGTCTCTCAAAAATAAATAAATGTTTAACAAATTTTTTTAATATTAAAAAAAATCTTAAATACTTGATGGCTCCTAAAGTTGGTATATTCACATGTTTAGGGGT